TTGATTGGTATTGAAAATTGCTAGTGAAAATAGCTCAGCTTTGATCTACACGGTACTTTTTGGAACCTGGAAGGAAGAATCGTGTGTGGATATGGAAATGATAACTGACATAAAAATGTGCTTGCCAGCCTGATATTGCAGTGCAATCAATAAATGATACCCAAGCTGTTTTTAATTGAGTGTGAGGATATAGCGTGTACTGATAAATGCAAAAATTAAAATAAAAAATTGTACTCTGAAGGAGAATGTGATGCATCCAATTGCCATTGGCAAAGGAGTAAAACTTTCAGTTCCCACATAACAGTACTGATATTGGTTTAAGCATCTAGCTTTCTGGAGTCTAATCTGAATTTGAGTTTGTGGCCCTGTTCCAAAATAGGTAAGATATAGAGCCCAGCCATTACTCAGGTAGACTGTGTTCATGTCCTTCTCTCAGGTAGAGGTTGTTCATTAATTCAGAAGTGTTCTGTCCTTGCTGTTGTAGCTCAGTGAACTCTTCATGTATCATATAGCGTATATCTTTGCTGAGTGCCAGTGTCTTGTGAAATATATTTTGATTTCCATATCTGCGGGGGGGAAAAAAAAATGTGTTATCAAAAAGATACCTTGTTGAACATCTCAGATGTTATTTGATACTTATGGAAAAGTGACTTGGTATCACAAATCTATCGGGTTTATTGCTGATAGCAAAGCTCTTTAATACTTTTTACAAATACGTGTTCTGAAGACATGTATAGTTTTTTCTTTTCTTTTGCATTGCTTGTTTTAATCTGAATTCCCATTGCTGGGTTTTGAGGGTGTTTATAAAGATGCTATTGGAATAAAAACATAAGTAATTAGATGGCCAGCTTCCCAGTAAGACATCCGTATTCATGCTTTAGTACTTCTTCTATTTACCCTTTTTCTGAGATTATTTAGAAGAAGCATATCCCCTTTTCAGAGCTGAAAAACAATTCCAGTGTCATCTTATGGCCTAGCGTCTGCTGTTTTGTAAGAGACTGGCATAAGGAGAATCATTACAATAGCTTAAAACTTGGCTGTGTAAATATGTACTTACTGAAGATTATCTCTTGAATTTGTTGCCAGGTGTTCGTATGTAAACAACATCACATTATTTACGTGTTTCCACTATAAAGTGTCACTGTATGCGTGCAGTAAAGCAGATATGGGGTCAGTACAGAGGAGGGCTACAAGACACAAACAGGAAATAAATTAAATAAATATGGTACAAAATATATTGTTAGAGCAAAAGCAACAAGGATTTAGAGAGGTGATGAGCCATGCCACGGAGGGTATGGGATAGATTTGGGGATAAGTAACAGTTTGGGGTTGTATCATGGGTTGCCATCACAACTTATTTCAGCTGTTCTTTTCCAAAGTTGTATGCACTGTGTTACATATGTCCCAGATTGTTGAAATTTGGCATATCTCTTTGTAATTACAGATAAAAAAAGTTGAGTCTGTCAGAGCTAAATTGGGAGTGTAGTTGATGGACTAGTTCTTCTGAATACTTGCTAATCTGGCGGTTCTTACAAGTGCTGTAGTTGCTGAGAAAGTTCAGCCTTGAAGCCCTGGTACCTAGCTGAGTTTCCTTGTGCAGAGCTAGAGAGCTAGGCTATTGCTGGGGGCAAGCTAAAGGGTTTTCAGTACAGCTACTGGTTGTTGTAGTTACTGGAGTAGTTTTATTTGTTTGCTGTGAGGTTGTTTGCTAGACCAGTCACTGAGAAGTTGTTGAAACAAGCCACAGTTTATTTATTAAATGGCTTTGCAGTTTGGATTGCATGTATCTGCAATAAAAAGTAGGTTACTCACCCAAATTAGGTGTGATTATGTCTAGACATTATCTGATGGATATTTGTCAGCAATGAATGGTCCAAGTTGCCTATGGAATTGGATGAAGTAGTAGATTTGCCCACTTGGTTTACATAAAATTTTTGCAGTTACTGAAATTGATCTTTACACTGTAACGTTTTAATGAGACAACAGTTCTGTGATTTTGATTTGCCATCGATGCTGTGCTTTCTAGGTAGGATTTAAATCCATTGTATGTAAGCAGTGCAGGATTGTTTTTCTAGTGTGCAATAGCTGTTTAGTGTCCTAAGAACTATTGACTTATCGGTACACAATCAGAAATTTTGAAATAAAAGTATTCTTTTTACTGTGTTGTAACTGAAATATGAGGAATCTTAGGAACTGTCCATTGTATAGCTTGAAGGAAAAAGCAACCAGAAAAGATTTACGTTTTGACAGCTGATGAATTTTTAGCCTGTATATAATTTCTTATCTGTATATCTGCTTTAAAAAAAAAAATCAGATTTTTTTCTTTTCCCACAACGTTTTTCCTTTCTTCCTCAAAAATAGCAGGGGAAAGGACTTTGCTTAACCTTGAAGTGCCCCTTTTTTTTATTTAATTGACAATGAATGCAGGGGCCTCACGATACAATAGTTGTATTGTATCATTCGTCTTCCTAATGCCCTTGGTAACCTTCTTCCAGTAAACCTAGAGAAGGGAGATTTGCTGTTGCAGTGGATCTTCTTTAGCCCCATTAGAAAACTAAAAACATCTCGGGAACAGTCATTTTCCAAGAACATCTTTGCAGTGATCATGATTTTGTAATGTAACTTCTTTAAAAGTGGTGGTTTTTTTAATTATTCCAATATCATATCTGCATTTTGGGCCCACACTTCATTACAACGAGGTGCAGGTCAGATGAGACATTCTCAACCTGGGAATTTCAGATAACACCTAAAAGGAGAATGGTATGGGATTTGGTTTAATATAATCACCTGTGCAAACGGATAACATTTTGCATGAAACATTGAAATCTTCCAATGCTAGATAAAGATTTTTAAATCGTCAAATTAAAAACTGTTGCTTGGCATATTAGATATTAAAGTGTTGTGCTTTGTCCTGGAGGTTTGTGCTTTAAGTATACAACAAAGACTCAATGTCAGTTTGGTTAGGAGGTTAGGACAGGCATTGAAGCAAATAAATTAATAATCTAGAGGAAAGCTGTGAGCATCTCAGTGGGGATGCTTAGCTCTTCATAAAGTCAAAGTGCTTTTCAAACATTGATCCCCTTCCCCTTGAAGGCGACCGAGGTGGGGTGTAATGGTGTAGGCAGCTGTAAAGGAGAACAGGGAGATGGATGGGGAGGGAGAAATCACATGAGACTGACTAAATCTATTATTCTTGCAAAAGCTGAACTGTGGTGGCACTTCCACGTAAACCAGTAACTGATGAGGCTACGATAAACACTGAAATTTTGCACGGAATTGCATTTAGGATTAGGGAACTGACTGAACAAATCATGTCCCTGTCTTGTCAATGAATTCTCTGTTAACAATTTCAAATTATTACTTTGACTTTAATATTAACCTGCAGAGGCTTAGCATGTCTTTTTCTATTGCTTGTCATCTTCAACTCAGAGAATGGGTGGGTGACATTGCAAATGAATGTGATACACTCAACCTGTCGTCTTGTGTGTTTCTGCTTAGCCTCCACAAAATGCCATGTCAATGACAACTTAGTAATTGTGGATTTCACAATATTGTGAAAACTCGTTTAACAAGAGTATAAAAACTTATTTATAAGGGAAACCAGAAGGCAGTCTGTAGCTTCATGCAGTTACATGTGCATAATAAGTATTCACATTACCTTTTAGGCTTGCAATAGAATATGAGAGCTTCTCATTTTCAGTGTTGTCATAATTCCCTTTGAATTGGGGAAATTTGAAAATATATAGTGAAGAGCTCTATCAGTAATGCTGTATTTGGAATATTTTTTGTAACAAGAATAACAAGCTAGTTTCAGAAGCTTTCCTTCAGAAGTGGCTTCATATTTTCTATAGCTGTTAAATGTCAGAAGCTTTACATTACTCTCAAAATATATTGATTTAAATTAACCTTCCAAATAAGAGTGAAGCTTCCATGTCACAGAGCTTGTGCAGGAGTGCTTTCTGTGCAGCATGCATGTGGTCACTAACTTTCCCAGTCAGAAATTCAGGCCCACACCTCTTCTGTTCTCTTCCCCAAATAGACATCTAACTCAAGGTTTTGTGCTGCAGTCCTGCTCCAAACACCATGTGGTGATTTCCAAAAGTTAACTGCTAAAATTTTAAAGCTTTGAAGTACACGGTTTTCTAAATAAAATAAGTTCTTCCTCCTGTATTTCATTATGAAAAAGGAAATCTACACTTTTTAAAACTACTTATGCTCACTTTACACAATCTGTTTTGGATTTGAGTATTATGTCCTTGTGAAAAGAAAGGAATGTGATTCAAGATCATGGAACATTTGTATTGTAAAATTCAGCATGGTTAGAATGACTTATGCTGGCGTTTCAGCCCTTAATACTGATTTGTATATCCTAAGTTGTATGGTAATTATTTGCCTATATGATGGAATTCCAGCAAGGAGAACTTTATGCCCTTTAGCATAGTTCTGGGCCATTTTCTTTTATGTACAGATTCTGGAATAAGTAGCTTCTTAATTTTACATTGGCCATAGCTTGATCTAATAATTAGACTTAAAACAATTTTTCCTATCTTATCTTACAATTATAAAAACAGTAGTAGGCATGTATACTTGTTATTAATAACCTGCTACCAAAAACCCTGCTGTAAGCTCTGAAGACAATTAAGTAAGATTAATATTTTTTGCATACTCTATCTCTTAGTCATACAGGAGTGGCAAACAGGAAAAAGAAGTAGATCTTCAGATACACTAGTTTGTAATGCTAAAATCTGGATATCCAATTCATCATAAAAAACAATGAACAAAACATATAATGTTACTTGGAACACTGTTTAGAGTTTTTTAGTTTGTTTTTTGGTAGCTTAATCTAAAAAGTTTTTTCCTCTTGATCAGAAGCTTGTTTGCTGTAAGTACATGCAGCATATTTCAAAGTACTACTATCTATGTATATTAGTTGTGTTTAACACTATTTTCCTCATGAAACAAGAGTGCTTTACTAATGAGTTTGTTGATGATGTCTTTTTAGATTACATCAGATATGACTATGTGAATAGCCTAGGATAGGCCAAAGGAACGACATGATGTCAGAATAACATACAAAACATTTGCGAGGTATGTGGGTGTTTTCTGTTATGCTAAAAAAAATAATCTTGGTTGTCTTTAATACAATTAAGCAAAACAAATACAGTAATTTTATGCCATTTCATTTGTATGCTGAAGGAGTTGCTTGCAGAATTGATCTAAAATTCACATTTGTCATGACATACGCAAATAGTGATTTTTTTTTTTTCAGAATGTTGATGTCTGTTCTAATTTAAGGTAACTTGTTGATTTGAGCAGCTGAAAACTTGTCTTGATGGAAAAATAATTGTATATTTCTCCTTCTAAGGGTATCATACCCTAGCTGGATGGATTCCAAATTGGTGTTCTATAGAAAGTTTCAGAATTGGGAGGTTGGTTTTGGTTTATTGATTCCTCTCAAACATTTCGAAACATCTATGCAGCAGGATGTCTTGAAGGGGAGTGGGGGTTCTAAACAGACCTTTGGTTAAAAAAAAAAATGGTTGAAAAAATGTTCCAAATTACTTACGTATTGTCTTTTTAAACAAAAACATAAAATTGGGAAAAAATTATTTAAAAAATGGAAAAAGCTAGTATTTTTGCCATTGTGAATTTGGTTGAATTTACCCTAAATTTTAAATTAACAAAAGCAAAATTTGCCAGTGAAAAACTATTTTGACAAAATACTAACATGTGAATGCACTGTGCTTGACTGTTTCAGCTGTACTGCCAATTATCTCTTTAAAGAGCCAAACTACTTCTAGAGCATTTGTTGGGTATTTCGTGTGTGTGATACTTTGCTTGGCTATCAGCTCTTCATATACTTCAAGGCTTAGTTAAAAGTTTATTGTACATACCGTTTTTGTTTATTGTACATACCTTTTTTGTGGGTCTTTTTTTGAGAGAGAAAAAGTTAGACAAGAACATTTCTTAAAAGTTTTATATGTCCATTTTTGTTGAAATAATAGCTGATTTGCCTAGTTATCTTCATGTTCCAGCTCCTAATTATGTAGTTTTCATGCAGCTTGACTTTTCTTTTGCAAGTTTTAACCACAAAGAGTGGTTGATGTTCTACTCCGCTCTTGTGAGACCCCACCTGGAGTACTGCGTCCAGCTCTGGGGGCCCCAGTACAGGAGAGACATGGAGCTGTTGGAGCGAGTCCAGAGGAGGCCACGAAGCTGATCAGAGGGCTGGAGCACCTCTCCTGTGAGGACAGGCTGAGAGAGTTGGGATTGTTCAGCCTGGAGAAAAGGCAGCTCTGGGGAGATCTAATTGTGGCTTACCAGTACCTGAAGGAGCCTACAGGAAAGATGGTGAGGGACTGTTTGTGAGGGAGTGTAGTGACAGGACAAGGGGTAAGGGGTTTAAGCTGAAGGAGGGTCGATTTAGATTAGATGTTAGAAAGAAATTCTTTACTGTTAGAGTGGTGAGGCACTGGCACAGGTTGCCCAGAGAGGTTGTGGCTGCCCCATCCCTGGCAGTGTTCAAGGTCAGGTTGGATGAGGCTTTGAGCAACCTGGTCTAGAAAAAAACAGGGGGGTTGGAACTAGATGATCTTTAAGGTCCCTTCCAACCCAAACCATCCTATGATACTATGATGTCCTAAAGTGCTATTGAAATTAATTGGCATAGATTGTAATTTTAACTGTACATTTTTAGAGAGATTAGAATAACTTCAAGTAGCCGAAAAGAGAGGGCCTTTACTTATCCAGATTAAGTCTGAATTGTTTTTGAGAGAGGTAAAGTTTCTTCTTTTCTAAGGTATTTTTCTAGTGTGTGGCTACCTTCATCGATGGCTTAATAGATGGAGAGGTGACTTTTGTGTAAAAAGACAAACAGAAAGAACCCACCACAAAACCAAAAAACTAAACCCAAGCAAAAAAACCCCAATGTGTGGATAGAAAACACAATGTAACTACTAGAAATTGTAATATGGTATTGTTAGCAGCTAAATCTGAGCACCGGAGGTGTATTTCCGTTTGTTTTGTTTCACAACCAGAGAATGTAGCCCACACTGAACCGTCTCCTATAAGTACCTCTGCCAGCTATTTTAACTGTTATTCTGGAACTTCTACATTGCAATCTGCGTATACGTGTTTTCATTTCTAGTCTCTTGAATTATTCCTGCCTAGTTCTAGCATTAAGACTTAAGTATCTGAAAGATTTACTGGGCAGAATATGTTTATCTGAATTGATCCCTGGTAGGTAGGATTGAGAGGGTTTTTTTAAAGGATTTAAAAATACATAGCTTCATCTGAAAACTATTTCACTGAGTCTCTCTACCTGGTAATGGTCACTTTGACCGTTTTAGACTATCAAAGTGATTCTATATTCAAGGTCTTGGGATGTAAACTGAAGTTCCGTAATTCTTACCAGTCATATATAGGCTACCATTAATAAGGGGAAAAAACAGAGGCTTCTGCGTGACTGTCATTAATCAATATAATGCTTTCAAGTTTATCTCAGACATGGCCTTTAATAGCATGAATCAATACAATTTTTAGAACACAGTATACTTCTAAAGTAGTAGGTTATTCTTAATGCATAATGTTTAAGCTTTAGTTTGTCTCCTGTTTGTTGACAGCACTTCAGTTCTGCCATTTCATATCTTTGCTTATTAGAGACATCTGGAAAATAATTCTGTTTTCCTGAAAACTATTAAGGTTTCAAGTCTTGCTTTTGTTCCACATTGGAACAACAACAAAGCCCTAAAAGAGTTTTCATGAAATTTAATTAATTAATATGTTCTTTGAAAAAATCTGATTCATGTAATCTGTTGCCATGCTAATTTAACCACTACCGTTTGTTTCCCTTAAGTTTGGTCTGATCTGAGACCATTTTGTAAGTTATCCAACATATTTGTAGTGGGTTTGTGTTGTTTTCAACACAATAGCACTTTTGTCAACAAATTTAGCTGCTTCCTATCTTGTTCTGTTTTTTGTTGTGAACAATGTACTAGAACAGCTTTATTTGCATTCTGTTTTTTCTTTCTGCTTTTCCCCGGGTTGCTGGAGCAGTGTGAAAAGTCAACAGTCTGGTGCCATAATTTGTTGTTTTGTGAGAGACAGGAGCTGTAATTTAATGAAGACTTTGCCATTTTAGTGTAAGATAGAAGAAAGATGGTACATTTTAACAAAAGGGGAAGAATGGCTTATGGGCACAGCAAGATGAAAATGAAATCATTATAAAATCTCTGTGTCAAGCATTGAAGTTGCATGATAAAATAAAGTTATGGGATTATAAAACTCAGTAAATGGCTTACAAAATTGTTGATGAGACTTTGTAAATTAGTATCTTTTGATTACAGAAATATTTCATCTTTATGTAGTCATAGAATTGTTCAAGTTTTGATAAAAAAAAATCTCAGTAATCTATTTTTAACTTGGCTATGTTTTATCTTACAGAAATAAAACCTCCCGTGTTTCCAGTTTCCTTATGCATAGCAATGGTATCTTTGCTTCCTGCAGGGCAAGGCCAGAAAACCATGCAGTCATCAGGGCACAGATTCCGTGATGTTGAGCACCACCCGCTTCTTGCTGAAAATGACAGCTATGATTCCTCTTCCTCAGAGGCCGACATGGCAGAAAGGGTTTGGTTCATCCGAGATGGCTGTGGTATGGTCTGTGCTATAATGACATGGCTTCTGGTTGTCTATGCAGACTTCGTAGTGACTTTTGTCATGTTGCTGCCTTCCAAAGACTTTTGGTACTCTGTGATCAACGGTGTTCTCTTTAACTGCTTGGCAGTACTAGCTTTGTCATCGCATCTGAGAACTATGCTAACTGATCCAGTAAGTATGCGATTGTTCCTTGACGTTGGATTGTTCTCTCCTGTAGCTCACCATCTGCAGAGAAATTTGGAGAAGTGTTACCATTCTCCTGCTAGGAAAGGTAGTGTTAGAATTCAAAACCCTCAAGGTAAAGGGATGATACCTGTACTTTTCCTGTTGTTCTGTTCATGAAACCATAAATAATTTTTGACTTGAGGAGCAGGCAGTACAAAATTAACTTATCGGGGAGAGGTAGGCTTATGAGAAATATAGTTTGTTAAATATTAACTGAGGTTCTGAAGAAGCTAATGAAGCTTTAGTCTTTTCTGTTTTAATTTTTCTTACTTTTTTCCCTTAGATGTATTTTCAAAACTTCTTATGAAGTTGTAGCTTCATCCTGTATCCTTTGAAATGTATCTTCCATTCATGGCACATGGAAGAACTGTAGGTAGACATTCTGAAAAACCTCAGTCACATATTGACATAAAGTAACAACTACTGTACTACATCATTCATGCGTTACTGCATTTAGGTATTTGGAGTCAGTCGGAAGGGAGATTTAAGTTGAACCTACATTGGAACAATGTAAGTGCAAAAGTTCTTAAACATACTCATTTCTTAGGACTTTTACTCTTCAAGAGTTCAAGAGATGAAATTGTTTATTTTGTACTAAAATCTATTAGTAAAGTATTTTTAGGGAAGAAATCTGGGGAGAGACGGGTAAGGGGAAAAGCATTATTTTCTCCAGATTTTTGAGACAGTAGCCGTGTACATAAAACTTATGGGAGTGTCCGAAAAACCAGCAGGGTGTTGTAGTTAATGGTTTGCTAGGTCTTTGATTTACTTCTGAGTCCACACCCAGTGATGAAATGTTATGACTTGTATAAACTGTGACGGCTAAGAAAGTTAGTGGTTTAAGGATAGATTGCTTAAAAATACGTACTGGTAAAATTGTGTTTGTTTCTAGACCTGTGTTGTTCTTTATGGATAAAATATGATAGAAATTGAGATGAATCACTACTTTTTTTTCTTCACTCCTCTCCTGCTGACTCCCAGAATGGAAGACAAGACTATGTGATAGAAACTAAGATTAAAGGAAAAAGGAATAAACTGCCTCAAATCATGTGTGAACTAAATGTACTCTTATAACTATAAAAATATTTTTTTTATTGAAAGGAATTGGTGGCAATCTGAGACTATTTTTGAAATAGAGTGTATTTTTATCAGCAAAATGCTAAAAGCATGGTCTGCAGTTATCGTCCTTAGTGAAAGGCAAATACATAAATTTGAGAGAGATGTTTTATAAACATAAATTCACCTGGAACAAGATAAATTTGTACTTTAGGAGTTCTCTCTGAGGTAATTCACCGTGTCTACACTAAAGTATTAACTTAAATGAGAACATTTATATTGAAAAAAAAAAAACTTCAGCAATACAACATGAGTGTTTAAGCAACTCTCTCTCAGTTTGTACCTCTTCAAAGGCCAACTGGTTCAAGTTTGAAGCACCACTTAGCCAAAGAGTTCATCTGGGGCAGAACTTGGGCTGTGTCTCAGGCAATACAAACACGGGATTGTTATTCTAGGCTGTAGGCAACAAAAACGTTCTGCCTAAGTAGAGAGATGTTTTGCAATTGAATCTGAAGTGCTTGCTGGTTTCTTAATTCTGTCCCGAAAACTTCCTTAGAGTGTCTGTGTAAAGTGATGATGTTGCAGTGGGCTTTTTTTTTGAATGAGAAATAATTATAGAATGTTGCAGATGGTTTAAGCCAACCTGGAGAAGGTTTTCCCTGTGTGAAATAAGTGCTGGCTTGGAGGAGTTGGTGCAGAAAGGCCATTGCACTTTGATTTCACATCCCGGTTTATTTCACAATCGCTTCCTGTCATAGATAAACCTTTAGCTCTATAAATAAGCAAGGTGACAGTGGTACTTTCCATTATTTTCTTCTTACTAATCCAAAGTTAGATTCTGATCTCGCAAGGCTCTAGATTAATATTGTTACTGGAAGAAGCAAGCCTGCCTACTATTCCTGCCTGTTCATCATCTTCCTCTTTGTGTTGAAACAGCTGCTAATGCAGCTCTGTGGTGAACAGCTCAGAGAGCTAATCACTAAAAAATAATTTCTTTTCCTGATGTGTTATTTTCCTTCTGGGTCAGTTCTTTCAACTGTTTACCATGTAACTACACAGACTTTTACAGGAGCAGCAGGCAGCAGGGGATACTAGATGTAGAAAAAGAAGCCAGTAAAGACAGTGTCCAAGCTAAAAGCTTAAGTATAAAGGAAAAAAGAATGATTGGTGGTTCTCAAAGCTTGTGTACGTGGGGCAGCTGGCTAAATCTTGGATTCTAAGAGTTGAAATAACATCTTTCAAGTAGTTGTTGCTGATTTAACTTTTGTGGATGGCTTGGCTAATAGTTGAACATCACAACAATTAACGTATGCTGCTGTAAGAAAGCACGTCTCTCTTCATAGTGCTTGTTCAGAGTAACTTTTCAGCAAATATTGTACCTGTAGTGCTTGTATCTGCATGGAAAGATGTGTCTTCCTCTTCATTTTATGCCTGCTGGTGACAGCAGGTCCTATTAGAATTATGCTAATACTTGGTCATAGATGGGGC